ACCGGGGCCGTGCCGGCGGGCGTGCAAGCCATGCGTTCGTACAGGGCCCCAAATTTCAAGAGGCACCAAAAATTATGGCGCATTAAGCCTACTGACTTTCAGATTACTCCTGATGCTACGTCTCTTCCTATATCGCGCTACCTGAATCAATCTACGTCGATTTGTCTCCCTGGCTCTCCCGTAGTCCCATCCTGGCTTCCCCGTGTCTCCTGTCTTCATGATCAAATCCGTCTTCCTGGCTCTCCCATCCACGGCTTCACCGTCTCTCCATCTCCGTGATCAAAGCTGCAAGCCAGATGGAGATCTGGAGGCCAGCGCCTAGGTGTAGGTCACAAGGGATAAATTCCTGATTCCTAAAGACCTGAACTCGTGGAAGGTAACTATCTAATTGACTAATTATCTTATATTTATCGATACAAATATTTCTTTATGTTAATGAATAATTACTCGTTGATATAAGTAGATGCAGAACTGTTGTATTGCGCAAAACGGTCGATGGTGCATACACTCACATCCGATAAAAAACACAAATTACTACTCTCTCTCTCTCTCTTTTGCGAGGATCGCAAATTACTACTCAACAAGTGAAAACAAGTCTTTTATTTCAATTCTGTTAAATAATTTAAAGAACACTAAGAGAATGATATTGTGTTCAAATAAAAATTATGCAATCACAAAATAAATATGTATGATTTTTTATTTATCGCATTGCTATGTATGCATATATCATTTTATTTTTTAAGGCCACTTTTAGAGTTTGGAACAATGCCTCGAATTTTGACGGCACAGCCCTGGGGACGACGACAGTCGGCAAGAAGCTGGCGCTGGCGGCGGCCATGGCGACGGCGCAGCAGGCGTCCGGCGTGCGCGCCACCTACAACTTCTACAACCCGGCGCAGAACAACTGGGACCTAAGTGGGACGTACTGCACCACGTGGGACGCCGGCCAGCCGCTGTCGTGGCGCAGCAAGTACGGCTGGACCGCCTTCTGCGGGCCCGCTGGCCCCACAGGCCAGGCCGCGTGCGGGCAGTGTCTCCTGGTAAGATCAGGCATTGATCTAGCTAGTTACCCCAGATGAATTACTGTCGATTGTTACTCATGGATCGATGCTTTTCGCACATGTACACAGGTGACGAACACGGCGACGGGGGCGTCGCTCACGGTGAGGATCGTGGACCAGTGCAGCAACGGCGGGCTGGACCTGGACTACGACACGGCGTTCAAGCCGCTCGACACCGACGGCCAGGGCATCAATGCCGGCCACCTCACCGTCAACTACCAGTTCGTCGACTGTGGCGACAACTGATGATTCTTCACTCGTATATAATGCTAGTAGCATCTTCTTCCAAGAATTATATGTATGTGATCCCACACGTACGAGCCAATAAGTGGGCGTCTAATCGCAAGCATTGCTATTGCATCATGTGTGTCTGAGTTGTAATGTGTAATTGCAAAAAAAAAAAAACGAGTTGCATATATACCCATATAACATATACGCCAAGTGGAATAAACTGAATTACGTGAGTCCTCGACTACTCGTACGTGTCCGGTCATGTCTCAAGAAATGCAGAACACTTAAAGGTGAATGCATGGACTGTTCCATATCTTCGGTGGATTCTATGACGGTTCTCACGCTGGATGGCTGGAGCCCCCTCCGATGCATATATATAAAATTAAGCAGACTTTTCCAATTTAAATCTCTTGAGTTTGGATTTAGGTTCCATCCATCTAATTTGGGTGTTTGATCTGAGCTACCAAGTGCTAATTTTCACAACTGTGCATCCTCATTATACTTATTAGGTCAAGTTACTTGTTCATACCACTCTTTATAGTACGACAAACGAGAAAATTAGAATATAAACTATTCTAATTGTCCCTCAACGCCAAACAACACTTTAAACTAGCTCATCCTTAGCTTTCACGCATATCCTTTAGAAACGGATTGAAATCCATCATTAGGGGCATAAAACCATAAGAGCCTAATCAATATTCATCATTGTAACCTAAGTAATGTCGCTGCAAAACACGTGCTGGTGATAATAATTGTGTTGCCATAAATTTTAAAACCATATTAAGGGCCTACATGCTTTCAATATAATTTCAAAACAAAAGAAATGGTCAACTTGAGAGCTAAGCATCCATCTAAAACTTCACCACCATCCACTCCGCCACTATTGGCTAGATGAAATCCCAACTTGATGACCACTATAGATTATGCTTCCTTCCTGCCAGTAGGTCACTCTACAAATAGCTTCAACGCCGCCGAGCTTCAACTCCACACCATCACTGGTTTGACTCGCCATAAGATTACAGGTGTGGCGATGTTTGTCAGCGGACCAAACAAGCCATAAATCCTAGAGGAATTGGAATTGCATAGAACTTACAATCTTATATAGGAGAGTTTAAAATGCATAAAAGTTTTGGCCCTTTTTTCAATACGCGGGGAAATTTCGTACATCCTGTGAACATGACATGCATGTGAATAGGTACGCATGCAAAGAACACGTACGTACATGCACGAGTCCAGCAATTAATGCACGTACGTTCTTGCAGCAGGGAACGGTCATCAGTTATCTCCTCGATCCAAATAGACGGCGAAGACGCGGTCAAGATTTGTGGGCTAGACACATGCAGTACGTAGCTGCCTCACATCTGGTGATCTGGTTCTGGTGGTGGATGCAAGTCACAGACACAGCGTACTAGCATCTCCAAAAGTTTCATAAATCTCATCCTAATACTTGATTTTTAGCAAGATGAGAAAAAATTCCTCTCCAACAATTCCTAATATCTTTTGGAAAAAATCTACTTAACCCCCCACCTTTCATACTTGGTCTACTTCACCCCCCAACTATGAAACCGTCTGTTTTACCCCCTGAACTTTTAAAAACCGTCTATTTTACCCCTGAGCGGTTTTCAGCGGCGGTTTTGCTACAGCAACAGCGGGTTGCTACAGTAACCATGGTTTTGATTTTTTATTTATTTTCGGTGAATTTTTGAAAAATCATAGAAAAATCATAAAATGAAAAATCTAATTTTGTTGCACTCCACATGAGTAGATCTACATAGTGAATATATAATACGGTATGCTTTAATACAAAATTTTTACTGTAGCCTTAGATTAATTGGAAAATCTAATTTTGTCTGTAATTAATTGGATGAGATTTATAGAAATTTTTACAGTAACAGTGTAGCCTTAGATTAATTGGAAAATCTAATTTTTACCCGCGGTTGCTGTAGCAAAACCGCCCAGGGGGTAAAATAGACGGTTTTAGAAAGTTCAGGGGGTAAAACAGATGGTTTCATAGTTGATGGGTGAAGTAGACCAAGTATGAAAGGTAGGGGGTTAAGTAGACTTTTTCCAATACCTTTTCCTAATCTTTTAGCACTTCGGAAAAACTCCCTCAATCAACATAAAGTTACGCGCCGTAGACATCGCGCGTATTGTCGCCCGCGCGGTCTCCCGTCTTGGCACGGTCTTTTGGCGCGGACGTTCCCCTTCGCGCGCGAAGCAGAGGGTCGCCGCCGCCGTCTACTGGAGAGGAGTTCGTCGCCGCCATCGTCGTGTGGAAAGGAGAGCAATCCAGAACCATTGCGGTTACGCCGCTCCGCACTGCGAAGGCGGCAGAGGGCCACGACTGCGTAGATCCGGACCCCACCTGGAAGAGCTCTGAAAGACGACAGCAGCGTTCTCGGTCGCGTGGCCTGCGCGCTCGCCCCTGCAGCTGGCTCTTTTGGCAGCGCCGGCAGCTGCCATCGCGGTGCGTCCGGCAATCTCGACGGGATAGCCGAGATTGTGGACGGCGGCGTTGGCGGCCATGCGGTTGCTGAATGTACCTGTGTTCTGTGAATTTGGTTTGTTTGTCTGATGCTAGCTTGTCTTGGTGGCCGGCAGCCAGCAGCTTTATTTGCATTGGACTAGTTGCCTGCTGCTTGATACTGTGCTACTGATTGCCTGCATGCAACTGTGCTCTGCTGCTGAATACATGGCCGGCAAATACTGCTGCTCTGCTGGTCATACTAGATGACCGGCGGCCTGTGGCTGGGAAGTGCTGCCGGCCTGCTGGGAGTTGACCACAGCCGCCTCCAATGTGGCCACGGCCTTCTGGGAGGAGGCCAACTCCGGCTGGGAGGTGCAGGGCTACGGCAACACGAAAGAAGGAGGCGGCGGCGACGGATGTATGCGCGATCACGAACAGTTCCCCGCGGAAAAAAAAGGAACGCAAAAAAAAACTCTAAGTGGGACCAAAATTTTATTTTTTAAAGTGAAATATTAGAAACTACTAGAGATAGCATTTTTTTCTCTCAGTACCTTTTTAGGAGTTACAAATCAGGGACCTGTCTCTGGAGGCCGAACGCATGGTGTTTCCATGCAGGTATGCACATACTCCGTCACATGTATACAAAAGCTGGGATGGCGAAAGGTCGTTTTGAGTCGGCGCCCGGTGGGGGCTGTGGGCAGTGGCAAATAAACAACGTACGCATGCAAGCAAGGGTTCAGCGGCAAATTGGAAGCTCTCGCGCGCATGCATAGGTCAGCGTGCGTTGGAACATGGCGATCCATCGATGAGAAGCTAGCTAGCTTTGGATAAGGCTGCTGATCGAGGCTAGCTAGCTAGTGTCACTCTCATGAACGCCGGCGAAATGGATGGACATGCATGCTGCTAGCAGGGTAACACGTATACACACGTAAGCCATCAGGGTACAGAGCACAGACGCCGTTCGCGTTCGATCTGCTACAGGATGGCGTACGTGATTGATGCGCAGAGTTGCTTAGCATCAGAACTCAAGCAGGAGTCCACATTGTCCGGCCGGCTCGCAGCCACAAACTATATATATATATATAAAGTCCCTGATCGATCGAGCTATCAGATCCGATCCATACCACCACCATATAACTTGAACACACCATCACTGACGACAGGCGATTGTGTGTGTACGTGCCACTACCTCGTTACATTCGACGTCAAGTTGCATTGTTACATTCGACGTCAAGCTAGCCATGGCGGCGATGATCACCGGCGCGCGGGCGCTCACGGTGGCCGCCCTCCTTTGCGCGGCCGCGGCTGCGGCCGTGGCGCAGCAGGCGTCCATCGTCCGCGCCACGTACCACCTGTACAACCCACAGCAGAACAACTGGAACCTCAACGCCGTCAGCGCCTACTGCGCCACGTGGGACGCCGACAAGCCGCTGTCGTGGCGGCAGCAGTACGGCTGGACCGCCTTCTGCGGCCCCTCGGGACCCAGGGGCCAGGCCGCCTGTGGCCGGTGTATCCGGGTAAGAAGATGAGATGCTCGATTCTTCAGCGCCTGTGGTTTGAATTTTGCTTCAGGAAAAGGTTCATGGTACGGTGAGCATTTACGTTTACACAGGTGACGAACCGCGGGACGGGTGCTGTGACGACGGCGAGGATCGTGGACCAGTGCAGCAACGGCGGCCTTGACCTCGACTTCGAGACGGTGTTCAAGAAGATCGATACCGACGGCCGCGGCTACCAGATGGGCCACCTCGACGTCGACTACCAGTTCGTCGCCTGCTGAGGATCGAGGGCACCATGATGATGAACTACGCATGCAACCGTACCAGAGGAGCGTACAGAGGGAATAAGATGCATGGAAGGTCAGAAGCCTGCAGCTGCGGATGCAGGCCTGTAACCAATATAGTAGTACTAAATAAATGGAATACTACAGCACAAATAAAGTATGTTTTTTATATTTCTTATGAGCCCTTTTACAATGGTTGGAAATGCTTCATAACGCTCGCTGACGCTTCCTGATGCCTACCCAAAATAGCTATTTTTATTGATTTTATTCGTTCAAGGGCATTATGGTCATTTCGCAAAGCCAACTCACCACCCCCGCCGGCCCACCTCCCAGCCCGCCCACGCACCCACGCGAAGGGAAACGTCGTCGGCCTGCCCGACATCCGCCTCCCCACAGCACTGGCGCCCATCCCTCGCGCTAGCCCTAGCCGTCGCCGGCCTGCATTCGCCCGTGCCTAGCGCCGTTGCTCCTCCCTCCTCCCCGGCACCGCCGCCTAACGCGAGCGGCACCTCCGCCTCTGCAGGCCGCTTCCCTCTTGCCCCTCGTGGTCCCTGCAGTGCCGCCCGTGAGCACTGCCGCGACACCTTGCGGGTAAGTCCCTCTGATGGCCTGATCCTGTCTCTACCCTAATGCCACCCTGCGGTTGCTTGCGGTGCTTCTTTTGTTGTAGCGGGCTACAGCGCCTTGTTGTAGCGGGCTACAGCGCCAGTGATTTCCGATTTTGTTCTGCAGCAATCACGCCAATCAAACTATATTGCTAGCGTTGTTGCTAGTGTCATTGTTCCGCACGTATTATCCTGAATTAGAGTCAAGTCCGTGAATAGATAGCAGGCACAGTTACAGTATCTCATTAGCTATTTAATTAATTGCTTGCAAGCAAGAATTGTCCTAATTCATATGTTCTGGTTCAAATGGACAGTTGGGCTGCGAAGAAATTCTCAGAGCCAGTTCACTTTGTTCTGTTCTTCATTTGACGTTGAGTTACGACAATTAGGATTCTGGTTGTTCCATTTGCTAAGTAACAAAAATTGCAGCCGAGCCCTATTCATCTTAACTTGAACAAGGTTCAGAATGGTAACATGCCCAAATTGGAAGTATAAATTGATAAAATTAATTTTTAAGTGAGTGCGAAATGACAAAAAAAACTTGGAAAAATACTACATGCCCAAACGGGCAACTTAATGGTGCACGTATCCAAAAGTCAAGCCGCGTTCTCAATGGTACTCGTCATCCTCTGGTCCAGCTTAGGTGGCGTGCCCCTGGTCACGGGGCGCGCTGCTTATGTGGTTCTCCATGCTGGACATCGTCAGGCTGGGCATTGCGATGGTGGTGTTCTCCATCTGGACCGAGATGTACGCGTGCTGGGTGGCGTGGCGCGTTGGTTTCTCCATCCGGACCGGGATGTGCAATGCAGCGCGTGGTGCAGCCGTTGGACAAGTTCCGCGGTCTGAACGGTCACGGTGGTCACCACCGCGGCGTCCTCTAGGCTGGGATGGTCAGCACATCGCCAAAACGCCGTGCGCACCGCGCAGCCGCTTCCTGTGGACATCGTGTGCCGCCGGACGTGGCGCTGTCACTGGCGGTGGTGGTCGAGTCCGAGCCGCCACAGCTGTTCGCGTGCCATTAATGCCGGTGGTAGCTCTACAGCTCGCAGGCGCTCGGCGGACACTAGAACGTGCACAAGCACAAGCTCGAGCGCACGCTCGCCAGGCACCGCGGCGACGCGGTGGTGGCGCCACTCGGGCTCGACCACGACCACATGCACACCGCCCATGGGCCGCTCGGCTTGGGCCTCCTGTCTCCTCTCAAGGGTTACATGGGCCGCTCGGCTTGGCGGTGGCGTGCTCGTCATTTGGAAACTCCCCATATGGAGATCGTGGCGCCTCCATAAATATAGGATCGATCACTCTTTCCTAATCGTAGCAACCTCCTCCCCTCCGCATTATCTCCCCTCGTCGTCCTCCACCGCCGCCGCCGCCGAGATGAGAAAGCCAGGAAAAGACACCGCGAAGCCGTCCTCGGCCACGAAGAAGGTATCCAATCACTCTAAGATCGTCGGGGGCGTCAAGTCATGCCGCAACTGCAGGAACGGACAGGCTCCGTGTCTGTCCCCGGGGAGCGTCAACATGTGCTGCAACTGCTTGAACCCAGAGTGGAGCACCTGCGTGAACGGATGTCTGTCCTCGGATACGGGCACCGACGGCGAGTCAAGCTACAAGGTATCTTCTTGCACGGTTGTTCCTTAGGGCCTGTTCATTTTACTTCAAATCCATGTGGATTGGGAGTTGAGGGGGATTATTAGATCCCCTACAAGTCAAAAACCTCTAATTAATGAACTTTATTTTCCACAGTTATCGCCGAGCCAGTACGTTCAGGAACTGCAGATCAAGAAGCTCCAAGAGAATGCCGAAGCCATGGCTAGGCAGATCGACGACCTCCAAAAGAAGCAGGTCGCCATGTCTAGTCAGATTGCGGACCTCAAAAATGAGGTCGATGCCAACTTTGCCAAGATTTAGAAGCCTTAGAAGTGCCTAGTTTAATTTAAATAAATTTCCTTGTGGTTTCAGTAGTTCAGAGAACTTTTTGAGTCATTTGTATGGTGGTCTCTTCAATTTATTGAAGTCTTCTTGATGAGTCGTTTGTATGGTGGTGATGTTGCTGCTTTTGTGTTTCCGTGCATTTGTATGGGTCACTAATGCTGTTGTGTTGCTGCTGCTCCATCTCGGTTGGTGCTGCTGATCACTATCCAATCACTGTATGAATTTACACAGCACCCCAACATATATGTTGCAAGCACTCCAATACACAGATGAGAGAAGAAATATGTTGCAAACAAAGTTAATTAATCAACTATACAATGGTGCTTTGCAATTATGTCAAACCTACGGAGGCAACTGATAAGCTTAGCCTCACCTACTGTCAGTGCAGGGCGTGTTGGTACAACTTCAATTGTCAGCACATCTGTCAGCACATCAGACTACAGCTGCCAGTCCAAAGCATTCAAGCATCATTCAGGTAGCACCTCAAAACATATTTCACTACATAGTGCAGAAATTAAGCGGATCATTTCATCTCATTTCTCCCTACCAGATTTCCAGAGGGCAACACTATTTTCTCACTTAGTCTTGATCAGCTTCTTCACAATGTTCTGACGAGCCAGTGCACTGGCACTGCATTTCTGATCAGCAAAGCATGACCTCCCTTCCTCAGCTGCATTGCACATTTGCGGATCCATGGGCACAGATGATAGCTTCTTTCTGTCCTACCAAAAAGTGAAGGCCCAACCACTCAAAAGAATACACTATAAATCAACTTTGGCCCTTTTGCCCTATGACCGAATCAGTGCATTGATTAAGAGAATTGCTGGATGATTGACAGCAATAATTTCACAGTTTCTGGATTAGTAAGAAAATGTCATCATCCTTACCTTCCCTAACCATTCAATGTACAATACAGTAAGCATTAGCAACCGAAATGATTTTTACATAAGCATTTTGATTCCTGACCTCAATTCAAGGATAACCTAATATAGTCTACATAGAGATAACACAAGTTCAGTAGCCGTTGCTATTGGATGGACCGTCCTCTGCTCAGCAGCGCTCAAGACGCTAGCTCAGCTAGTCTGCTCGCTTCACAGCACAGTGTGCCCAGGCTTGCAGGTTACCTGGCAGTGTAGAGAGGCATCTCCCAAGAGAGCACAGAAGGTTTAATAGCTGTGCTGCTAGAGCTGGTGCGATGGTTGGGATGGAACACCCCAGGATTGTTAAAAGAAAATGACCCAAAAACCGTTAAAGCAATTAATGCAATACAAATAGCAAGCAAAGACTTACTGAACATCCACGCTATTATTTTCTTCCTCAACCTAAGCTAAACAGATAAATTTGTAACTTCATCAAAGCTTAATATTGTTCAACTTAATGCTTCTGAGGCAACAAATCAAAAGGACAAGTTTTATATAGGTGAAAGTTAAGTTTCTAGCTCTTATTTCATCATAATAGAACTGTCAGTGATCCTATGATCCTATCTCTTCTGAGAAAAAGAGGAAGGTACCAGTAAGCCAGAAAAAATAGGAAAGGGGTTATGCTTGTGGGTCTTCCATTGTAGTATTTGGCTGTGTTGTGTTTGAATATGCATGACTTGAAACTGAAGGCAGGTCAATGTTATCCATGTTAGTAAAAGCATAAATGCGTGCTCTCAGAAGCACTTTACCTACACCCATAAAGAGGCTAAATAGCAGATTCTTCAACTCAAGCGGGACATTATCGACCATGTTTTTAATTTGTTTATTTATCGTAAAACTAGAAACTTCTGGACAATTGTTGACACTGATTAGGTCACACTTGTAAGAAGCTACATCGCTCGATACATGCAAGCCAAAGATCAGCCTAGCTAACTTTTTTTAGATCAGTCCTTGTCTAACAGCATGCAGCATGTTCGTTTGGCTGTGGCTCGTCGTAAACGATCGTAAATTTCCAGCCGGAACAGTATTTTTCTCTCACACAAACCAGCCAGCAGTACTTCTTAACGAGCTAGCAACGATACGAACCAGCCAACCAAACAGGCTGATGTTCGCGCACGAACACTCACGTGTTGCCTCTAACGATAAGCAGCTTAGACATAGGATATAAAATCATGTCATGTTTTGCTACCCTCTGATTCCTACACACAAAATATTGATCTATTGTCGGACGAAAAATCCTATTACAAGGCATGCTCGCAATCATGAGTAGTGTTTTGATCCCTTTTTATTAGATAGTAACCATATATGGTTTGGTTTATGTTTTGTCCTCATGTTAAAATTATTTACAATCACCTAGGAGCTCTATGCATAACCTAGCAATTTAGGTTGAATAAATAAAACATGACCAACTAAAAATGCTTAGAGCATATCCACATATCTCTTATACTCTCCCCTATATATCCTTTAAATAGGAAATGTAATAGCTAAAACAGATCTCCTATACATATATTCTTTATAATATCTCCTAAATCCACCACCATCTCTCTGAAGAAAAGGGAGACCTCTCCCTCTCTTAAATCAAGATGAAGTTTTGGCAATCTGCTGGAGCAAATGTCTCTCATATCCTAAAATTAATTTTGAGAGATCCCCTATAACTGGTTATAGGGAGGAAGGAATAGGAGATTTGATGGAAATGCTCTTACCCCAATATAGTTGAGTCAAGCCTTTTGAACGTTGCATAAGCTCATATTATACTTGTTGAGTAGTTCCCAAAAAAAAACTTGTTGAGTATGGTGTGCTCATACTTGCTATAAATTCAACAAAATTTTGGATGGGTACCAGATGGTGGTTAAGCGACAAGTTACCTAAGATGTTCCAAGAGTATTAAGTGAGTGCTCCCCTACTCAATTGTCCCTATGGAGTATAGAGGTCTGAAGAGAAGATTAAGAATAGCTTCTACTATGCTCTATTATAGATATAAGTTAATGTAAATATATTTAACAATACGTAATATAGCATTGTTTGACTCTTCAAGATTCTTTCACTCTTCAAGATTTTTAGAATGTCTTATAATTTGAAATGGAGGAAGTATAAAGTTTCTCTATAGTTAAGGGAAGGTTACACGCATCATTTACAAATAGCCCCTAATTTGTCGAGAAGCATGTGGACTACTGCGGATAGCCCCGTATATATTCGTGTGTCAAGAAGCATGTCACATGCATGCATGCAGAATTTTCAACAAGAGACTGGAAAAAGCCCGGTCAAGGCTTGCGTGCTAGCTGGTGTCGGCCTGGCTGTGGCTAATGCACATCGGCACATGCATGCCATCTGAAAGCAAAAACCACCAGAGTCCACCAGAGTCCGGAGGTAAAGCCCGTGTTTAGTTCCCGGACCAAATTTTAAAAAAGTGTTACAGTACCCATCACAACGAATCTTGTGATACATACATGGAGCATTAAATGTAGATGAAAAAAACTAATTATACAGTTTAGTTGGAAATCGCGAGACGAACGTTTTGAGCCTAACTAGACCATGATTGAACACTAATTATCAAATAAAAACGAAAGTGCTACAGTAGCCCAAATTCCAAAATTCACCCAACTAAACACGCCGAAAGGTAGTCATGTAGTCTTGTGGAGTGCACGGACGAAGACGATAGTGGAAGTGGAAGTGGAAGACTCTCGGCTCGACATCAAAAGCACTTACTAAGGGCCTGTTTAGATTAAAAAAATTTGCGCAGTACTCATCACATCGAATCTTGCGGCACATGCATAGAGTACTAAATGTAGACGAAAAAAAAACTAATTGCACAGTTGGATGAGAAATCGCGAGACGAAACTTTCGAACCTAATTAGTCCATAATTAAACACTAATTGCCAAATACAAACAAATGAGCTACAGTGGCCCAGAACCAAAATTTTTTTGGCATCGGCCTAACGATGCTGGAATTCCACAGCAGGTCCGTCCGATAGTGGAAGTGGAAGACTCTCCGGTCGACATCAAAAGCACTTACAAATTAACGATGCTGGAATTCCACAGCAGGCCAGTTATTATAATATATGGCCGCGGACGTACGCCATCGTCGCAGCTAGCGATCGGTGCAGATCTCGACGGGCGTAGTACGTACGTGGCGACTCGCTGCGTCTCGCTTTCCCGTTGTCATCCGACGCACGCAAGCATGCACAGATGGAGTTCGTGGAGATCCACCGAGCCGCCGCGCGCATTGCTAGCTAGCTAGGTCAGCGTTCCAACAGTGCGTGGACGTACAGCAGCCACCCACCACATGGGTAAGGGCTCCCCCAACGCCCTTTATCAAATCGCCAGCTCAAAAAGGAAAGGCAAGATAAAAAAGAAAGAAAAAACTCCAGTACATAGAGTGGGACTGAACCGTTTTAGTTGTAGCTTCACCATAGAGCGGATTTAATTGGAGAGCTGAATCCGTTTTTATGGACTGTTTGGCAAAACAGCTTCTCATGATACCTGAAAAGGGTAAAATCTTCATAATACCCTTATTTTTTTATTTTTCTTTATTTTTCTATTCTTTGTTTTCTTTTTTTTCCTATCTTATCATATCGCTCATGGTTTACAACCGCACATCCACACGCGAGGGACTCAAGCGTCTTCAACCTCTGGATGCCGCAAGCCCATCCCGCCTGGGAGCGTGCCCGCTAGTATTTTTGGTTCCGTCTGCTCCAAATTGCTTCCCTCACCGCAATTTCCGGAGATTTGTGGTCGGGGCACTTTGGTTCAAGAGCGTTTGGTTGAAGGAGCTAAAAAATAGCTCTGGGAGCTGTCCCGGGAGCCCTACCAAACGGCCCATTAATCTAGAAGAACGAGACAGCAGTGACACATCGCTAGCGTTTTTGTATTCATCGTTCTCTTTCATCAATCTAGAATATAATAATATGCTCCTCGCTAGCTATTTGGATTGACATTGGGCACGCCCTAAGCTTCTAGGACGTACGGGTGGGACTGGCTTCGCCAACACCGTTAATGGGTCGGCGAACTGCTGGTCACACACTCACACGCACATTTCACGTGAAAACTCTCAAGCTCGTTTCGCTGAAATTTGGCTTATTATGATGCTTATGCTGAAATACTGTGAGAGAAAAACATGGTTCGTTCGCTAAAAGTACCACTGAAGTAGTGCATCCGTCCCTTTAGTTTCTAAAGGTGCGATCAATATGTTCTAGAATTCGTGTCAGCAGTCAGCAGTTAGTCATGGAACTATGTTTTTCTCTTACAGCATTTCAGCATAAGTATCAGCATGAACTAAATTTTAGCATAAGCGAACAGGGCTACATACGTAGATGATAGATGAAGTGCATGATGCGTGTCCCCTAACTTGTACGTCTGTCATCGTACTTATTTTAGGGTGGGAAACCATACTTGCGCACAGCAATATGGCGAAATGGCGGTTATGACCCTACCTTCCGACTTCCGTACGGAGCATGCACACCATCTTTCTTCTGTCCTTGAATGAAGAAAATTCCACATTGTCCGGCGCACCCAGAGAGACCTCTCCTCTATATAATGCTTGTGATCTGCATCGAGGTATAACGAACAAACCTCATATTCGTCACTTGGTTCTGCGTCGTTAGCTAGTTTGGGATTAGCCACTAGGCAAAGGACTCTATTAGGTATAAGGAAATCGCTACTCTCACGCGCGCGGTTATTATACGTGCATGAGAAAAGCTTGCTCTTTATGCGCAAAAAAAATGAAAAGAAAAGAAAGAAAAGCTTGCTCTTGCTGCCAATAAGATATCGATCCGAATTCCCACTTGCTGATTCGTATATCTCTCCACCACCATGCATGCAGGCAAAGAGGGCAACGATGGCGGCGGCGGCGGCGATCTCCGGAGGACGGGCGGCGCTGGTGGTGGCCGCCGTCCTGTGCGCGGTGGCGGGTATGGCGGCGGCGCAGCAGGCGTCCAACGTGCGGGCGACGTACCACTACTACAACCCGCAGCAGAACAACTGGAACCTCAACGCCGTCAGCGCCTACTGCTCCACGTGGGACGCCGACAAGCCGCTGTCGTGGCGCCAGAAGTACGGCTGGACTGCCTTCTGCGGGCCCGCCGGGCAAAAGGGCCAGGCCTCCTGCGGCAAGTGCATCCGGGTATGTGTGTCGCTTCTACATGCACTTCTTCTTCTTTTCTGCCCTGTTCGCTTGCTCGTAAACGATCGTAAATTTTTAGTCGGGAACAGTGTTTTTCTCTCACATCAAACCAGCTAGTAATAAATAATCCATGATACGATACGGCCTCCCGAACAGGCCGCTGGTTGTTGAAATCAGAGGATGATTCTGCTGTTCTTGGCTGGGTGGCAGGTGACGAACCGTGCGACGGGCGCGTCCATCGTGGCGAGGATCGTGGACCAGTGCAGCAACGGCGGCCTGGACCTGGACTACGAGACGGTGTTCAAGAAGATCGACACCGACGGGCAGGGATACCAGATGGGACACCTCAACGTCAACTACCAGTTCGTCGCCTGCTGATCACTTCACTCCATTACTGTCTGTAATATAATAATAAGCCATGCATGATGCATGGCGTGATCGATGAATAAAACGGATGGAGGAGTAGCTGCCTGCAACTGCGCAAGCAAGCCCGGATCAACATGATATAAGCCGCATTGGAATATAATAAAGTGGACTACTTATTATATATTACTTTCAAGAATTCCAAACCTTGGATGTTATTCACTTCTATATAATTATTAATTATTTATTAATGGAGAAGTATACGATCAATTGAGTTTAACTCTTTGCTTGCGCAAACTCTAACGCTCGACCGTCGCGGGTTTGCAAGTCTTCCCCGGCTCTAGATCCTCGGCAGCAGGTTGGCCCAACGGTGGGTGGGTAGGGCGGCAAGGTGGCGGAGCGTCGCCGATTGTGGTGGTGGAGGCGGCGATTTGGGCAGATCAGGGGGCGGGGGAGGCTCGTCGACGGTCGGTTGACGGAGACGACGGATTAGCGAAAGGCAGGGTTGATAGGTGGGGGCGGTGTTAGATTTCGTTTTTAGGTATGTTCATCAGATCGGGGTGTATTGGTAGTAGGAATAGGTGTTCAGGATCACAGAGAGACAGAGAGAAAGGGGGTGATAGGTTGCAAACCATCAAAAGCCGTAGTGGTCGAAGCTCCGGCCGGGTTTTCGTTGATGGACGCCATCTGCGCGCCGGCAGCGACGTTCGGTGGAGAGGGAGTCGGCGCTGTGGCGTCCTCGGCGGCGACGTGTGCGTCGGGGTGGCGTTGCCGGCGTCGGTGGTGCTTCCCGTCGCTGGCAGCGCCCCTTCTCAAGATCGGGTCTAGGGTTAGGATGTCGGTGGGGTGACTGGCGGCGCGGTGAACCTCGTACTGCGAGCCCCGGCCCCCACCTTTCCTTTATAGCGCTGTGCGACGGGGGCCCACCAACCATGTAGGGTTGGACGCCCCCGATCAGGACGCGAGGACAAGGCCCAGTTAGACCGTTGGGCGTAACTGGTGGGAGATCAATCCTAACATTCTCCCCCTTGATCTCTCATCTATTCTTTGTTCTTTAATTTTATACTCAAAACTTTCAATTCATATTTTTCTTTCTTCCATCCTATTTTCTCACAGATTAGTGCATAGAACTGTCCCATTGTCACAGCAATTAGTGTCGTTAGACTAACAGCCACAATACACTTCTCCGTTTTGAAATGTAAACTTTCTTTGGGCCCTTCGTATGTTCGGGAATCATAGGCTTTCCCTTAAACCCATGCCGGCTACGTGTTCTCTGAACACGTTGGGTGGTAAGCCCTTTGTGAGCGGATCCGCGAGCATTTTCTCTGTACTTATATGCTCAAGATTTATTATATGATCCCAAACTTTATCTTTCACAACATAGTACTTTATGTCAATGTGTTTGGCAGCACCACTTGACCTATTGTTGTGAGCATACTGTACCGCTGGAGTGTTATCATAATACAATCTCAGTGGTTCATTTATATCATCAATCACTTTCAATCCGGGTATGAATTTCTTCAGCCAATTCACCTGCCCCGTTGCCTCATAGCATGCTACAAACTCGGCATATATTGTCGAGGATGTAGTCACGGTTTGTTTGGAGCTTTTCCACGATATAGCCCCTCCTGCGAGAGTAAATACATATCCTGACGTGGATTTTCTTTCATCTCCCGTATAATCAGAATCTGAATACCCCTCTATCTGCAGGGAATCAGATCTTCTATACGTAAGCATGAGGCCTTTCGTACCCTGCAAATAACGCAGGACTTTCTTCACTAATTTCCAATGTTCAATTCCTGGATTCTTTTGATATCTGCCAAGTAACCCGGTAACAAAAGCTAAGTCAGGGCGTGTACACACTTGAGCATATTGTAAACTTCCAACAGCTGAAGCATACGGTACCGCTTTCATTCGGTCAATTTCATATTGGTTCTTGGGACATTGATGTTCCCCAAATCTATCGCCCTTGACTATAGGAGCAGGTGAAGGACTGCACACATGCATACTAAATTTTTTTAGGACCTTTTCTATGTATGCCTTTTACGATAATCCTAGAACCCCTTTTCTCCTGTCTCGGTAAATCTCTATTTCCAAAACGAACGAGGCCTCACCGAGATCTTTCATATCAAAGTTTGAGGACAAGAATTTCTTTGTTTCCATTAGCAGATTGATATCACTACTAGCAAGCAAGATATCATCCACATACAAAATTAGGAATATGTACTTTCCATTCCTGAACTTTGCATAAACGCAATTGTCCTCAACATTTTCTTCAAACCCAAAACCTTTTATCGTTCTATCAAACTTCAAATACCACTGTCTTGAAGCTTGCTTCAATCCGTAGATTGATTTCTTCAGGCGCCATCCAATATTTTCCTTTCCTTTTACGACAAAACCTTTCGGTTGTGCCATATAAACATTTTCTTCCAAATCCCCATTTAGGAAAGCCGTCTTTACATCCATTTGATGTAACTCCAAATCATAGTGGGCTACAAGTGCCATTATAATTCTGAAGGAATCTTTACATGAGACTGGAGAAAATGTCTCATTGTAATTAATCCCTTCTCTTTGCGTGAAGCCTTTCGCCACAAGTCGCGCTTTTAAATCTTTCTATATTCTCTTGGGAGTCATATTTTGTTTTGTAGACCCATTTACAAAATTTCAACTTGTTTTGGCTCCTTTAGGAATATTTTCTAAGTCCCAAACTTTATTGGTACTCATTGATTTCAATTCATCTTCCATGGCCTTAAGCCACTTTGATGAGTGGTCGCTTCTCATGGCTTCTTCAAATGAGGTGGGATCATCCCCATCCGACATTCTTCTGCTTCATAAACTTTATAGTCATCGATGTAATAGCCGATCTTCTTATTCTTTGAGACCTTCTAGGTGCCTCCGGCACTTGTTCCACATTTGGTCGTTGTTGTTCTTCCTCATGTGCAACATTTGGTTCTATAGGTTCCTCAAGGACAGGTTCCTCATGTTCATTCATTGTCGCCATGGGAGAACTTGCAACAGATGTTGGCACTCTGAAAGGTCCTACATCGCCGGTGCAACAATGCAGACAGTAGCGTGAAGAATGGTTCTTCAACCATCGGAGTGGGTACATGTACCCGCTTCTCCAGTAGGCTGATTTCTCGTGCTACCATGCTCCCCGATCATGTTATCCTCCAAGAACATAGTGTGTCTTGTTTCTACAATCTTCGTATGATGTCCATGACACATAGAAGCGATATCCTTCGATCTTTCCGATATAGCCAATAAAATGACAAATTGACCGTCTTAGAGTCTAACTTTCCTATGTTTGGGTTAAACACTTTTGCCTCAATTTGGACAGCCCCACACGCAAAATGGTTGAGTGAGGGTTCCTTCACATCCATAATTCATATGGTGTTTTAGGCACCGATTTACTTGGTACTCGATTAAGTATGTGAATGGCGGTTTTCAAGGCCTCCATCCATAAACTAATCGGTAATGTGGAGTAACTCATCATGCTTCTTACCATATCCATTAATGTACGATTACGTCTTTCACCACTCTATTCTCTTTGAGGCTCCCCGGTGTGGAGTCTTGAGCAACTATGCCATTTTCCCAGTAGGAACCTTGCGAATGGTCCGTGAATTTGGCCATATAGGGTATATCGCCCATAGTACTCTCCATTTCGGTCCGATCGTACTATCTTGATTTTCTTATTGTGCTGATTTTCAACTTCAGCTTTAAATATTTTGAATTTATCCAATGCTTCCGATCTTTCTTTAATTGGATAAATATTGCCATAACGAGAGTAGTCGTCATGAATGTTATAAACGAGTCATAACCTTCCACACTTTTCACGGAAAAAGGACCACATATGTCTGTGTGGATTATTTCTAAAATTCACGTGCTTCGCTTGGCATCTTTCTTAATTTTCTTGACATACTTTCCTTTGATGCAATCAATACATTGTTCTAAATCTGAAAATTCTAAGTGCGGAGAATTGATTCCTTAACCAATCGTTCCATTCTCCCCCTCGAAATATGGCCCAAGCGACAATGCCATAATTTCAAGAGACAATATCAATTCTCTTTAAACTTCTTAGTTACATCCGTAGATGGGGAATCATTCACACTCTCATCACATACATTGTTCGCATTCTCAAAGAAGAGATAATAAATAAAGCTTGTCTTGTCGGAAGGCAAGACCAACACATTTATTATTAACCAGTATCTTACACTTGCCATCACCAAAATGGCAATCAATTCCATCATCATCAAGTTTTGAAACACTTATCAAATTTCTACACAAAGAGGGAACATAAAGTACTTCTTTAAGTCTAAGTACAAAACCATTATTCAATTCTAAAGAAAAATCTCCAATGGCTTCAACATTGGCTTGCACTCCATTTGCAACTTTAATCGTTCTTTCTCCTCTTTGCAAGGTTCTCGTCCCACTTAACCCCTGTAAAGAATTTGCAATATGAGTAGTTGCTCCTGAATCAATCCACCAAGTGAATCTATCATAACATAAATACAGGGATTCATCTACAAATGTAATAAATTCATCACCTTTCTTTAGCAGAGATTTCAGGAAGTCTGGACAATCTCTCTTGTAGTGTCCCTTCTTGAAGCAAGGCTTGCAATCGATCCTTTTCACCCTCCACCATCTGCTGATTCTCGAAATCCTAGGGTTTCTTTCCACGTGAATTGGAGGAAGAGGCCTTATCCCACTTAGGTTTCCCTTGTGGTTTAGAATTCTTGCCATTAAAGTTCTTTCTTTTGTTATCCTTCACAAAATGAGCAGATTCACCTTGTGAGGACTTTATCCTCTCCTCTTCTTGAGCACACATTGAGATGAGTCTTTCTATGCCCCATCTTTCAGGCTGCATATTGTAGTTCACAATAAAGGTGTCATATTCTTTTGGCAAAGAAGCAAAAATCAAATGAATCAGGAAATCCTCCTTCAAATTCATTTCTTTTAGCTTAGATGCCGTAGTGTTCATCTTCAAAATGTGCTCTCTTATGCTACCATCAGTGAATTTCTCATTCACAAGCTTCTTAATCAGTGAACTTGCTGTGGCCTTGGTAGACCCAGTAAACTGACTCTTGATTTTCTCAAGATATTCTTTGGCGAGAGCACATTGTGGATTAAGCCCCTTATCTGTTCTTCTATGGTGGCTTTGGCTACCAACAGGCACTTGCGGTTGGAAAGAGTCCATTGTCTATGTTCAAGGTCATATTTCATTCTTATTTCAGCATGATCACGCTTTCGAGCAGCGAAATCAGCGTCAGTTTCATTGTCACCTCTCATCGGGTCCTCTCCTGCTCGATGGGACATGGTGAGTGATGGCAAATCGACCTCTCCCAACGCAAGTTCCATTCATACTTCTCCGCCACACACGGTGATTGGTTCCATTGAGTGTCGGGATGTTGGTAATGTTCACAATGCATTTGCCTCCTGAAATCATACCAGAGTAAGTAAGAACATTTATACATAAAGTTTTATGCTTTAACTCAACGTTGGTCAAATTAAAACTTATAATTCATCCATGCAAACATTTTACATCACCGTTGGATGTAAGTAAAATTAATGCACAATTTCTCATGGATCAAAATTATAATATTGTTATTAACAACGTTAGTCGAAAAATAACAATATCATAATCGCATCAAAATTATCGAAAATTTATTTCTCTTAAAATTAAATTATCCCGTTGGTTCAAATTTAATCAAAGAGAACAATAATTATCATGCACAATGAAACATTAATAATCTTTTCATATTATTATTTTCCGTAGCACTAAAAAATTCAACATTTTTACGAGCAAAATATCGTTGGATAAAATTTGCACGTAAAATTGTATCAAAATCATTCAAATTCATCAAAAACATGCATTAAAATTGCTCTGGAAAATAATAAGAAAATTTATTTCTTCCTTCTTTCATTTCAGCTTTACGCGGCCCAAGACGCTACCAAAACTGCTTTCGCCCACTGTGTCTCATGCGCTTACAAGACAGCCGCACTCTAGGCCGCAACTTGGGCCTGGGCAAAGTGTCACAGCGCCCTCAACGCCCTTTGGGCGGCGAAGTTGGCCCAATGAACTTCGGCCGTTTGATTCGATCCGACGGCCGAGCGGCCGCTTGCACATGGATCAAAAGCGTGCATGCCGGCGCCACCGAAACCCTAGCCATTCGACCCTTCCCTTCTCTCTCTTCTTCTCCGCTCTCTCTCATCTCTCTTGACCCTTGCAGAACCGCGCAACCGAGAGTGAAAGAGCGACGAGCGAGCGGTCCTTTGCACCGTCGCCGGCCCCCTCGCCGGCGCGCATGCTCCCCAACGGGTGAGCACGCCATTGTCGAGCGGCTTTGCTGCACAGCATGGCCCATTGGCGAGCCCGGCGAGCCCGCACCCCCGGCTCGGCTTCTTCTCCCGTGCCGGTGAAAAAGTTCATCCGATGCACCCTAACCCTACCCCTACTTTCTCCTTTCTTTCTTTGAGTTGTTCTTTTCGGGTTTATCCGAATGGGGAAAAAACTAGGGTTAGGGTTAGGGTTTGTTCTTGCCGATTCGGGTTAGGGTTTGTTCTTGCCGATTCGCTTTTCTTTGCTTTTGATTTCTTTCTTTTCGTTCATCCGAATGGAAAACTTGGGGTTAGGGTTAGGGTTTGACCCTTCTTTCTTTCTTCTTCCCTTTTCTCTCTTCGGATTTGTGTCTAGGGTTCTCGAATCCGACCCTCCTTTTCCTTCTTTCGATTTGATTTGGGAAATTAGGGTTAGGTCTTAGGGTTCGGCTTTCTTTTTCTTTCCCGATCCGCATCAGATCGGTCGGTTTCACTTACCGATCTGATTTCTTGTCGAACCGTGGCTCCGTACCATTGTTAGATTTCGTTTTAGGCATGTTCATCGATCGGGATGTATTGGTAGTAGGAAAAGGTGTTCGGGATCACAGAGAGAGAGAGAAGGGGGTGATAGGTTGCAAACCATCAAAAGCCGTAGTGGTCGAAGCTCGGCCGGTTTTCGTTGATCGACGCCATCTACGCACGCAGCGACGTTCGGTGGAGAGGGAGTCGGCGCTGTAAGCGCCTCTCGGCGGCGACGTAGCATCGGGTGGCGTTGCGGCGTCGGGTGGTGCTTCCGTCATTGGGCGGCGCCTTCTCAAGATCGGGTCTAGGGTTAGGATGTCGGTGGGGTGATGGCGGCGCGGTGAACCTCATCTCTGCGAGCCCCGCCCCCACCTTTCCTTTATATAGCGGCCAGCGACGGGGCCCACCAACCATGTAGGGTTGGACGTCCCCGATCAGGGCGCGAGGACAAGGCCCAGTTAGGCCGTTGTAACTGGTGGGAGATCAATCCTAACAGGCGGAAGGCAGGCGGTGCAGCGTGTCGCTCGCAACCGCAGGCAGTGGTGGGAGGCGGCTGCGGGCGGGGTCTCGCCCTGCCTCGCTTTGCCTGCAACTTAATGAAATGCCGTAACTCAAGACCTACTAGCGTACTTATACGATATATATGTCCATCTGTCCTCTTTCAAAGTTTCAGGCACTGCGCCCGTGACGTGATGGCTGAGTGCTAGGCCGGCATATCCCGATCGGATAACTCGAACGATCGAGAGTTGTGTGGTCTCACGTACTGAATTCTACCATGGAAAGTCATGCCGGCTTGGAAGAGTTGGATTAGAAGAATATGGACATAACTGGATTCTGGCATCCCAAGTCAAAGAGACAAACCGCACAAAGAGGAAATGTGTGGCCGTCTCGGCTGCCCATTCCACAAGAAGTCACTTTGTCCTGTATTTTTGACCGACTATATTCCTTCTATCGTGGTTAATTTTGACCATGGTACTGAGGCGGAATTCAAATGTGCGTACAAATGAACTGAACGCAGGCGTGGGCCCGGGGTAACGCTTTGTGAGTTCGAGAATCGGGTTTTATGCCCACACATTGAAAACACAGAACAAGTCCTTACCACGGATCTTTTTTTTTTTTGAAATGTACCACGGATCTTAACCTGGTCGGCAGGCCGGCCAGACCACCATTTTTTTATGCCCGGCCCAGACCACCTCGGAGCCCAGCCCAACCCCTATTACGATCCTATTTCGTCTCTCAGCAACCAACAACGACCCGACAAGTTCCGTTCATATATGTTACTCCTTCAATATTTTTCACTTCCAAACATGCCAAACCAAGCTCTTCTTCACTTCGACATCCAGTTCAATTCAATTTTTCGGTGGGAATGCCAATCGTGGCAACGAAAATTCACAGAAATTAAGAGTTCAAAAAAACACACACACAGAAATTAAGCTTCTAGAGACCATTTCCCAGCTACGTAGCCATCCTTATCATCACCTCATCGTCACACACATACGTCGCCACCAGCCGTCCCTGTCGCCTGTCAGCGTTCTCCCCCTGGATGTGTGTGCCAGCAAACAGCAAACCAAAACGGTTTCTGTTCTTCTCAGACTGGAAACTTCTGCGCAACTCACAGCGACGTACGAATACGCCAAAGTTTGTACTCTTTCAGAATTTCAAACAATGCGTCCCTGATGATTGATCGACTAAATAAGGACGTGCTGTGTGGTGGCACATCTCGATCGGATAACCTGAACGAACTGCGTGCTTGAAGTCCTTTTGTGGAAGTTTGAATTCTTAGATTGTTATAGCATGTACGATACAGAGCAAGAGATGTACAAACAACAGACTGTGATAGTGTGGCCATTTCAGCCGTCCATTCCAAAAGGAGTTTACTATATCATGTACAATTTTGACCAGTTTTCTGAACCCTGTATAATTAATTCTTACCATGGCCATATCAATATTCAAATATAAATGAATTATAGAAGATGTAACTGTAGCTACACATCATATTTTTAGACTTTTCACTCTGTTGAGATGTCCACAGTGGAAACCCATAGTTTACATTACAAATATCTGATAAAAAGGAAAATAAAACAAGCTATGGCAATGCCAGCACTACACGGCATATACTTTTCTAAATGACAATAGTAATCTCTTCTTTGTAAGAGAATACAATATTATTTGCGAAAATATACATCTTGATGCAAACTGAGCCCCGTGGAATCTGCACTCTTCTTCCCCATGTACGAGGCAACACTAATTATTCTTTCAGAAGAGTGGTAGACGACGTGCCTATATGGTAACTTTCACTGTGCTTAAAAAAAATACTTGGGCACGAATAATCTGCTATTGATAATGGTAGCTAGTGGTTTGACTTTTGTCGAAACTTCAGTATCACTAGTGAACTGTAGCTCTTCTATTCGATTTTGTTTTTGTACTGATTGTGACTACTAGCCAAAAAAAAAAAAACTGCATAGCCCTAAGTACATAATAGGGCGTCTAGCAACAGAAATGTTTTAAAAAAAAAGAGAGATCAACTAGGTCTCCTAATAAGTTCTACACCAAAGCTGTGTATCCATGTTCTACCCTGCGAATCACCTCACCCCCATCGCCTCTATCCGTGAATGTTGCACTGCTGCAAATGTGGCTTATCATAGTTAAGGTACCTGTTCCAGTAATCTCTGTACTTCGGGATAGAAATCTCTAGCCAGGGTTTGAGTTTCCCACTGTAGTGGATGACAGAGGCACTCTCAAGTTCATCTCTTCCTCTGCTGAAGTCATGGCCAAGCCCTAGAACATGCCATCGGCGGTCCAGAGGCAGTGTTCTGTTGTAGAAGATGATCTGACCCAGTGGCAAGCTTCCTGCCTTCCATAACTTCTGAATTTTTCCCTGAAAAATAAATTGGAAGCCAAAGCGAAACAGGGTGTCATAAACAACAAGTAAACGTAGAAATACTTCACATAAAAGCAGTGCTCCCTCAAAATTAATTAATAAGATATCATTAACACACACCAGTTGAAACCATTTATGATAAGTTGTAGTCAAATCCTGTTTGCGCCATTCATTCAGGTCAAATATGTTCATCCCAAATGCAAATGCACAAGCCTTTGGGTCAAGTTTGTTGAAGATGTTTGGATTAGAAAAGTCCACAAGGCTATCCAATCGATGGAAACCTTCACTTGAAGTGCACGTCTCAACAGCACCAATTACTTTACCCTTCAAATCTAGATACCATAATCCAGTTAAGTCATTCTGGACTACCACATCATGGTCCAAGAGTACAACCTTGCTCAAAGAGGGAAACACTTCTGGCAAATAAAAACGCAAGTGGTTAAGTGCAGAAGTGTATCTTGGATCTCGAACACCCTTCAGCTTGAATCTGGAACTGAAATCACCAGGCAACCATTTCAAATCATCTAGGCTTTTGATTTGGATTGCTGCTGGAGTTGGTGGGTTTGTCAGAAACCACATCATCATTGCAGGATAGTTCAATGCATCAGTTACAATATGTAATATTATCCTTCCAGGATCCTGTAAAATAAAATAGACAGAATCAAAAGAATATTCCAGGATGGAATGAAAGTATCAACAAGTCATACTGAAGAAGTCATAGTGCAGTCCTTCCTTCCATGCTCCTTGCATGTAAATTCTCATTATATAACATAAATAATAAGGTAATCAAAGATAAGTATCCATCCAATGAGTCCCTCAAAATTATAGAAAATGAAAGGCAGGGTAAGTACAGACATGCAGAAAGCATACAGCAGCAGTTGCACATTGAAGTTCCACTGTTGTTTTAATTATATAGTGCATTGAGTAAGCAAGCAGCTCACAGAAAAAGAAAGCCAAGTAATATTGCTTCACAAATCTAAGACCATACCTTTGATGCAGCAATTGTAGAGTTGACAACCACAGCACTTGCAAGCACATTGTCTGAGAATATTGCATAATGATAATAACCATCCAACTGCATGCTGTCTCTTTTAGGGAATTCGCGTTTAATGGGATCTAACGAAAAGTATTCTTCGGTAAGTTGCATTGCTAGGCAGTGATGGCCTTTGGGTAATGTCCTCACAGCAACCTGCTCGAGGAATGAAGATTCACTTTGGTGTGCTCTGACCAATTCTTCACTGTTATGCATCATTGCACGTAGCTTTGATGTCATCTGAGAGCAACGTGGGTAGGTCATCTGAGCCTTGGAAAGGGTCATCTCCATCGCCTTCATTTTTTGCAACGCACTGCATGGTGTTTTTCTTTTTTATGTCAGTAACAGAATTGTTTCTTCCATGAAGCATTTGCATGGTTTAACAGAACTACTTTAACGATCATTGTAACCAAAACTTACCTCCCAGGTACATGGGTACCTCCACTTGAGTGGCTTATTGCCCTTTCGATCTCTTTTATCCTCAATTTCAGTTCTCGAACTAAATGTACACTACCTTGGGGAGAAGCAAAATGCAAGTATGCCTTCGCCATGATTAGCTGATCTTGCATCATCCATATCTTTTCTTTAGTGTCCGGGGGAGATTTAGATATCCTTTCATCTTCTTCCGCCGCAGTTTCATCAGTTTGCCCGTCTATCTGCAGAAAGACTCATTGACATTAGTATCTTTAACCGCATTCAGTTGAAACAGGGATTGTACACCTGCTCAGAAACATATTGAAAAGGACAAGTCGTTTTGCAGAGGAAATTGACCAAAACCTCGCAATATTCATTGTGGACTGGAAAAGGTTCAGCCACATATTATACAGTATAAGCAAGAAAAAAAAAACAGGGGAGAAAATCCTAGTTGAATTACCGTTCCCTGACAGATAATTAGTGGTTCCCCTGTCTACTGTAGTCCGGCTTCATATTCAGGCTACAGAATTCAGCAATTTGGCACCACAAACGCTACTTTTTATTAGTACAATTCAGCAGTGGCACTTCTCTACCACAATAACACCCAGGTCCCAGGAACAACTACTTCCAAGGATGAAATGGAAAAAGTTGTTCCCAGATTTTTTTTTTCAAAAAACTATATACAATAGTACACTGCTCATAGATAATCCGAACAAACAACATCACAGTTGCCACGAATTACCTCTTCGGTGACGACACTCAGCCTTCTGGCCTCTCGAATCCGCCCCTGCAAAAAAAAAAGCACCAAATTCACATTCAAGACAAGAGAAGCGAACCAGGATGGAATCGACAGAACTGAAGAAGGAAAGGACCAGAATCAGGTCAGTATCGTCTGGGGCAACAGTCCCACTCTCACCTGGTGCACCGACAGGCGGGCCCCACCGCCCCCACCAGCGCCGCGCTCCCCACCTGCACGCAAAGCAGGTTCCCATCGGTATCAGCAAGGCAAATTAAGCACACGCCAAGCGCGCCACTGAACCCGGCGCTCCCAACCAAATTAGCGCGACGGGAGGAGCGAGGCAGGTCGCTGGACTCACCGCCGGGGCCGGCGGAGCGGGCGCGGCCGTCGGGGAGCGGGAGGTGGAGGAGCGCGAAGACGAGGCCGCAGGCGGTCGCGATCAGCAGCACCCGCAGCACAGCGGCCGCGGCGGACTCCCTCCCGCCGCCGGCCGCCCACATCGCGCGCGCCGCCAGTTGCCAGCCGCCCACCACGCCACGCGGCTCTCCAATCTCGGGCACACAGCCGCCGGAACCGCTCTCGAATTCGGCCGCCGCTCGCGGTCTCGCCTACGGCTACTGGGAACTGTGTGAAACTGTGAGAAAGCGTAGCAGGCGGGGGGGGGTGGCGGGGGGGTGGTCATTGGGGCGGTGGCGCGTGTCACTGACGGGTGGGGACGGAGAAGAAGTGGGCCCGGTGTCAGGGAGAAATAGTGGTGGTGGGGTCTGGGGATACGTGGGCTCCGATCCGGGTGCGCGAGACGTTTGTCTTTCGTGAGTAGGGGCGGTTGTCAGGACACGCTTCTGGAAATCCACTTTTTTTTTTCTTTATTATAGTTTCCTTCTTTTTGCAGTCGTGTTATTTTTGAAGTGTTAAGATGTGTTTCCTTGTGTATGAGCAATCACGATTATCCCTTCCTCTTTCTGCACTGCGGGTGGGGTCCACTGGCTTCCAACACTCAGTTTTCAAATTATGAAAATAGTATTTGAAAGAGTGGGGAATGTTTTTTGTTTCGAAATTTCCAAATTGCAAACACGTCTTGTACCACGGGTCCACGCCTCAAGTCCTCAACATAGGCTGTCTCATTGTCTAGCAGGAGCTAATACTAAAAGAATAGTTCATGCAAGTTGGCCGATCCTAGTTTTTAGTAAAGCTAGCTCGAGTTGTGTGCAAGTTGTGATCGAGTATTTTAGATGAAATATACAGAGATTTAAACTACTTTGTTTTACCCCATAAAGTTTGATTTTTTTAGAAAATATAAAAGCTATAGCTCTGTTAAACATAACCTTCAAGGCAAATTAGCTTAAGACTTCTCGAGAACATAATTTTGAAATGGATTTTTTGTGTGTGTGTGTGTGTGATTGAACTTTTGGATCTTTGAGCTGCATGGCTAGCGTTTGAGAGCCCCTTCCTTCTTCGTGACTCCAGGACCACATGGAGTGTATGTAACGTAGTGCCATGCACGAAAACATGATCGATACAGGTGCACTCAACTGAGTGTCGCCTCGATCCAACAAGCCATGTGCGTTTCTACAGTTCTACTCACCGGTTGGCTCGGTAGTCAATAGGCAGGCCATGTTCGCTCGTGTTATAATTCGTATTTCTCGGCTTGTCTTTTTTAGTCAGAACAATATTTTTCTCTCACAATAAATCAGTTGGAACAATGTTTCAGCGAAGCGAACGGGCCCGTACTCAACTATAGGATGGTCACGTGCATGCCAACTTCGCTTGGATTCAGTGGGCTCATGGCTCGTCTCTTGTCCTTTGCTTGCATCACATCCGGGGTCAGGTAGAGTACGTATATTCTGTGCCTTCAACTTCAACCGGTTGATTAAGCACATATCTTATGGATACGGACAGTGGATTATCCTGCGTTTCTTCTAGCACAAAGTACAGTGCTCAGTGATGCTGCTTTCGCTTTGGTTCGTACCTGACGTGACCAAAGTCACGTGTGTCCAGCGAGGTGTCCTGAGTCCTAAAAACCGGGTCCAAAATAAGGACATGGTCGGTTGATGCCAAACATACCACAAAATTTTGCTAAAACAGGTCAGGTGTATAGTGTACTCTTTCCTATGCATAATATATATATATATATATATATATATATATATATATATATATATATATATATATATATATATATATATATATATATATATATATATATATATATATATACACACACACACAATTCATGCCAGCCAAATTAGTTCAAATCTGACCTACTTTATAGTAAATAGTATTAGCATTTATGTCTTTAAATAAATTTATCATAAAAATATATTCTATAATTAATTTAACAGTATTTATTTTGTACCCTAAATGTTACTCTTGTGTTCCAAATTATAAGACGTTTTGGCTTCCTATGAATCTAAAAATGTCAAAACGTTTTATAATTTGCGATGAAGGAAGTAGAACTTTTATATACATAATTTTGGTCAAAGTTTAAACCATTTGACTTCTCGAAGTACGAGAATTGCATTTTTTTTGTTTGGAAGGAGGGAGTAATAACTTAGGCTTAGAGTGGATTAGAGTGGAACTAAATTGTGAATTGAGGCAAATATGAGTTTAGACAGAAATAATACAAACAAAAAACTCATAATTCGTTTTTTAAGAAGAAAAAGATAACTCTTGCTATGGCTCTATCAAACAGGGTCTTACATTGTGGAAAGCTGATAATGGAAACGCTCATAGGTATTTGACAATCCGATTCGTTGGCTTCTTGTAGGTTTCAAGAGCTCTATTATATTATAACCCTCTCAACTTTATTTTTGCTTGGTTATCATTTTATTATGGCACGTTTACATTTATAACAAATCAAAAATCCATGATTAATTATTGATATAAAAAGTACATCAAACGAGAAAATAAAGTTAAAGTTTTGGGCCAGCTACGCCGTGCTTCATTGTCGTTGGCGGAATGGCGGCAGCATACCACACTCATTGCCTCCAGACCATGGTTGTTAAAATCTACTTTTACGTCCTTTTAAGATCTGTACTAAGAAGTCTGAGTCTACGCGGTTTTAGTAAATAGTCTACATGTTTATGTTTTTTATATTTAATGAATCTTATATGATTGTGATTTTGACAAGCTTACTCTATAGCCTCTATTGGCACGGATCGGTAGACCGGGGCGAGTATTACTATGTTTCTCCGAAATGCTTTGGGCAGGACGACCGTTTTGTCTGGACGTTTTTTCGTTGGTGGGCCTTACGCTCGCCCGAACGGCCCAACACTGCCATCTGCACAGACGCATCTATCTGCTCGAAAAAAATCTCCACTCTCACTTTCCTCTCGGATCATCGCTGCGCCCGCATCCATTCTCGAACCCACACTTGAATCGTCGCCGCGGCATTCTCCACAACGATCGCGCTGCCGCAACGCGGCGGCGTGCTACACCACGCTAGAGCGCCACCCGCTGCCTTCGTATCTCCCCACCGCCACTCACCACTCGGCGCCGAGTTCTCCGCGCGCGATGCGGCGTGGTCCACGACCATCGCTCCCTCCAGCATTCATTCTTCACCTACCCGCCACGCTGACCGCCATCCATCCTCCTTCTCCACGGCATTCGAGCGCCGCTTGCTGGCTACCGCAGTTATCCAAGTAGGTCGTGGCCGGCGGCGGTGCCATGTTTCAAGTGTTTCAGGTGTTCCAGAAGTATGTTTTCAAGTGTTATGTTGCGTATGTTGCAATGACATATAAGCATGTTGCAAGCATATGTTTCAAGTGTTTCAGGTGTTTCGAACGTATATTTCAAGTGTTTCATCTGGATGTTGCAGAAGTATATCGGGATGTTGCATAGCATGCATGTTGCAAGTGTATGTTTTGAGTGTTTCATGCGTTTCATACGTATATTGCAAGTGTTTTATCGGGATGTTGCAAAAGTAGATGTGGATCTTGCATGTGTTTGCAATGTCTTTCAAGTGTTTTTAAGTGTTTTTGCAAGTGTTTTGGACATATATATTCGCAAAGCATTTTATCTGGATGTTGCGAAAAGTAGATCTGAGTGTTAAACATGTTGCAATGACCACCACCACCGCAGCCGCCTGTTGGAGCTGCTTGGGCACCAATGAGCGGGCGTGAGACGGTCCCCGACTACATGCGCGTGAGAAGAGGCGCGGGGGGCACATGTGGTCCGGGTGGCGCGGGCCTCACATGGGCACGGAAAACAGGTGTAGGTGCAGGAAATGGGTTGCTAGCACGGACGTCCGTCCGGAGTTCGGGCGCTAGCAATTCCGAACAATGTAAGTACTTGAATCGCTTTAATCCAGCCGTAAACCCGGAAGATTGCGTATGGAACGGATACCTTTGCACTTTCAAGCATAGGATCCAGAATCGAGCAATGTGCGAACACGGTGGATTTGTCATTTATCCATCGTTTCCGTGCTTCCTAGTCCTGGCCTGATGCGTTGGGCCGGAGACCGCAAGTCCGCAATACGAGGGCGTCAGCCGCAGGGTTCGCCGCGTCAGGCGCTCTGCGATGCGGCCCAGCACAGCAGCATCCGCCCGCGCCGCAGGGCTGCATCCGCTGCGCGGCAGCAACGCCAAGCAGCGTCAAACGAGAGCCAACCAGGACCTTCCACGTGGATACGAGCCGTATACACGCGCCTGCCAGTGCCAGCCATTGAAGCCTGACGAACCCCGTGACGGGCTGACGGCGATACATCAAACGAACGGTTGTACTAGGACTCATTTACGTGCTGAGCCGTGCGGCTGTACAGAGCCGTCTAGCTAGCACTGTAGCACTGCCAGTACGGGAGCTCGCCAGCTCAGGTGGCTGCTCGGTGTGCGAGTGCTGCCCACCGTCACTTGCCTCGTTACATTTGCCATCCCATTCCCCACACGAGCCAGCACCTTCGTCTAACCCGTGGTTTCCTCTGTCAGAAGAACTGAAACCTACTTCGCCGGCGCGAAAGTCAGCGGCGGTAGCCGCCTCATCATCGTCGTCATAGCCGAAAGCCTCGTCGTCCTCGCCATCGTCGTCATCTTCGTCGGAGTAATCACCAACTTCATCGTCTGAGTCAGGGTAATCGGCCTCGTCGTCCACGGACTCGCTGCCATCCTCGGCGGTAGCACCGGCGACCTCATTGTCGAGGCGCTTGAGGTAGGCCTCGTCGTCCTCATCCTACACGGCGAATTCGTGAGCGTTTACCAGGATCTCAGCGGGGTACTGACAAGAGATGAGCTCAATCGAGCACGCGTGGCCGTAAGAGTTCATCGCACTCACCTCCATGTCTTCCTCGTCGCTCGAATACGCGGCATCCAGTTTGGCGTACAGCTCCTCGTCTCCTTGGCCCTTCACGTCTTCCATCTGGACCTGAAAAAGAATCAATATATACAATAGTGACATGTAAGTACGTATTATATATGTATGGTATGATCACGTTTCACTCGAGAGAAAATTATTTCGCTACCATACGCACCAGTTCTGCTTTAAGCTGCTCCACCTTTCTGTTTAGCTTTGCAAAATGACGACTCAAGGCCTGTCACAAAATTAAATTGCGAGAACGGTATAAGTGAAGGGAAAAGAAGGATGAAGACGAATGAAGGTTCGTCATTAGAAAAATGTATGCCAGATAAATGGCCATGATTAAAACAGAACACGGGATATGGTGCTGTAAGCATAATCTGTTCCCTTGTTTTGGAACACCCAACATATGTAAGCAGTAAGCTGAACTTTGAGTAAACCACCACAAAATCGAAACAGTATACCTGATGTCTCTGAAGCTCAATGGATCTGGCCAAAGCCTTCCGCTTTGACAAGAGATTTCTAGGCCTGAGCGAAGAAGGGCGCCGATAGTTCATCCCGCGGAACACAACAATGGCGTAGCCTTTGGAGACTTTGTCAACTGAAACTAGAATTCCGCCGCTCTCGGCCTCAAGTGATAGTGCCATCCTCTTCACGTCTGCAAAAGACTTCGCTTTCACTAATATCTTCACCAGCTCCCTGTACTTCCAGTGCAAGTGCATGTTCTCAATTGTGCCGTCAAAGACTCCCCTTCTGCCTGGAAGTGGTCGGAAGAATTAACATTGTTAGCAAGTAAGAAAGATACAAGAATCATTTAAGGACATTAGATCTCATGTCAGTAATATAACTGGTCAGGTTATTAAAATAAAGAGGTGTAGTAATGCTTCCAAAAAAATAAGGAACCGCAAGGAATACAAATAGTTTCTTAATCGAAGAATCCAATATTCCAATGACTCTGAGAATGGTAATATAGATTACTCCCTCCATTCGCTTCTAACTGCTATTTTAGGAATGGAGAAGTCTACATTTTATAAGGTGCTACAACTTTTTACATTTGACCTACATCTTCATAAAACATGCATACTTCAATGCGTGCAACATCTATGCTACTCAGTATCTTTGCTCATCAGCAACTAAGAATAAAAAAATGAAGGGTTGAAGAGAGAGGCAATCTGAGGTAGCAACAGACTAAAAATGTAATAGGACATATGTGTCCTCTGGTGACTGTTTCCCAGTAATTGTGCAAAATCCAACACAAAAAAGACAAAGGAATTACCGAGGAGCAGAAATGCCTTCATCCTTAGACCAAGTTTCCAAACATGAACCTCTCTTCATCTGTTATTGTTTCAGGTCTGAATCTTCAGTTGGCCTCAGGGCTGTCTCAACCTTTCCTAGTACCCTTTCAGCTTTCTCCATCTTTTTCTGTGCCTGTACATAAATAAAGTGAAATTGGTTCGATTCAAATCATATAACTTCCATCTTCCAATGATACAATGCATACAAGAGTTTAGCCACACAAGCTTAGATGCAACATGATCCTATATTACTTATGACAACAACAACAACAAAACCTTTTAGTCCCAAGCCAGTGGGGGTAGCCTGGATTTAAAATGCAACAAGAGCCACCAACAAGAAGAGAAAAGAAAACGCCATAAACTACTTGTCATACTAAAATTATGCATCTGCACTCTGCCATATTTTGGGGGGAAATATAAGTTCTTGACATATTTTGGACATCATGAGGCACAGATAAAAAAGTGTTTCCAGAAGATAAGATAGAATCTAACGAAGTGAACTTAGACTATTCAAACTTGGTCACTTACAAGTGAGAGCTTCCACTCTAGCTTTCTTACGAGGTCAGCATGCCTTGCAGCTTCAACAGTTCTTGCCATTTTGTCCTCATGATTCTCATCAAGTTTAGTTCCATATTTAGAGTTAGCCTCCAGAGTCTCTCCTAGAGTACCAGCTACAGTAGGCTGTACATATGTCTCAGCACTTGAAGAAAAATAAGACGCTGCCTTTCGCCGTGCTTCCTCTTCATCTTGAAATGACTTTGCTAATCTTTCCCTCTCTAGCAGCACCTCTGCAAGTTCTGAGGACAGGAAATCCTTCCCTCTGTAGAAGACTATAAATTCATTGTTCCTTGAAAGCATCACGCCACCTGTTAATTTCTGATGTTTGTTGAAAGAAAAAATTAGCTATGAATCATTAGTTCACTACAAGACCTACCTAAAAACTTGAACAAATGGATAAGTGAAAAGAAAACAGCAGTTGCAGATTGTTATCTATAACAGGGAGCCAAATATAAACATTAATGTTTTGGTTCATAATCTATGTTCCAGAGGACCACAACTCTCATCGATTCAATCTTTCATAGAAACAACAATTTTTTCATGCAAAATCAGCCAACATTTTTATTGATCAAGGGCCCAAATAAGTACATAGGTAGCATTAATGCTCAGTTCAAACTAAGAAATAAAATACAAACTTCAAGCTGCACAAAATGGATGAATACAACAGTTGCAAAAGAAAACCTAGAAGGACTTCGAATCTGTAATGTGCTGTTGCTAGTGGTCAATTAACATTTCTAACTAGGATACACATATTTACATATGCTACCCAAATTGTACAAATCTAACAAGAGACACTTTCTTTACTTACTTTAATATCTTCAGCCATCCTCTCACTGGTGGTAAGCTGTACTCCTCTCTTCAAAGCAACTTTAGCAATAGAACTTTTCTCCCACAACTTTACCATAGCATTAGCTAAGCCTTGGAGTTGTCTGCTTCATTCTAACATCCAATAGTAAGGGTGAAATTAATATTAGTACAATGGATTGACAAGTTCATAGTTTAACTAAAGCATAAGTGCATAACAGAAGTTACCAAGAGCAAAGTGAGGAGGCAGTCCCCGGCAAGACGGCGTAAATTGGTAGTGTCCATTCGGCTAAGAGATGGCCGGACACCAAATGGCAAAACTCTGAAAGGGGCTTGTAACCTGGCACGGTTGCAGGAAGTAAATCTGCATCTACTGGCAACGGGTCAGATCCAGGCCAGTCAGTGTATCTTGGGCCAAGTTCATCCAATAGTTTGTCAATTTCATCTTCATACTTGATTTCTGGTGCTTGCACAACTATTTCCTCTTTCCCAGCATTAGAAACTAAAGGTCCATTGCTATCTTGTACACTGTTCACTTTCTCAGTTGGTAGCAAGGAAGGATTTGGAGACCCTTTAATTGGGGACTTCATAGAAAGAGACTGTGAATTCTTTTTGACCCCTTAGTGGGTTCTGGTTCATCATAATCTACTCCCCTATACAGAGAAACAGAAGTCCCTGATCTCCATATTACTAATCCTCCTGTTTTTCTCTAATCACCACCATTAAAACACACACAAAAAGAAGAAAGTATGTCAGATGACAAGCACTTCAAATATCTGAACAGAGATGAGTTGAGAATCAATCAAAGCCACTATATTGAACTTAGATTTTTATTAGTACTATTTTGCGAACAACACAATTCACAATAGAATATTTTGCGAACATTTCATAAGGTTTGAAAAGCACAGTGTTTTTCAAAGATCTAATTGTACACTGAACATACTGTAGTAGTTATATCCAAACATTCCATGATATTATCCACAATACGATTTTGCTAGTATCTTTTCTCAACTAAACTTAATTATAGCAACAGAATGTAATGCTCATTTTCAAGTCAATTTTACAGTGGGAAAGAACCATAATAAGTGGAATTGTAGAACATGATAATTAACATCATAAACATGAATCGTATAGAGTTTTCAAGCACCGACAAGATGCAACTCACTGTTATCCTGTCCCTTGCTGAGAGTAACTGAGTTACGAGCTATGTGGTGTTTTACTTCTACAACCTAACTCAGGGAAACTAATGGAGAAATTGGGCACAACTGCATAGTGACAAACACATATTTCAACAGGGAGCAGTTTATGCCTTGGGCTGATGGAGCTAACAGAGTAACAGATAGCATAGAGGAATTCAGACAAATAGATAGGTAGAGTAGACTCATGATTCTAGTTCACTGCTTAGCATTTGTTGCAAATTATACAGACAATAGTAAATCAGTTCTGGATTTTTTTTTTCCAAGACACATTAACATGTTCTTCTCCTTCTTAGTGTGCAAAGGTGTACAATCCTATTGTGTATAAAATAAATGCTAAAACCACACCACAGTAATTATAGACTGCTTAGGTATCAATGCAAGCTATGGCTATGCAAGTTGAACAAGTTGCCATATCCTTTCAAGTACCTATCGGTACAGACACATATTGTAGCTCAAAGTTGTTTTCTACACATCAACCAATACTAAACTAGAGGTTGATAAAAGGGTACAATTCTGGCGGAATCAGAATGAACCTCGAGTATCTCGTGGAAGAGGCGCATATTGAGCGCCGGCGTGCTGGAGACCTTGACCCTGACCACCTCCTCCGTCTTCCATTTCTCCTTAATCTTCTCCACGATCTCACGCGTGACCCCGGCCCCGCCGACCTTGGTCCTGGACTTGATCCTGATGGCGGCGTGCCGCAGCCGCCTGAGCTCCGCAGCGGGAGCGTCAACTCCGCCATCCACGCCGGCGAGCGCGTGGCCCGCGGCGCCGCGGCCTCGGGCGGCGGCGGCATGGGGCGCTCCACGGGAAGCGAGCGTCCCCGAGCGCGCGCTCCTCCTCGTCGGCGGCGTCGAACCCGCCGCGCGCGTTGGGGAGCACGCCGTCGTCGGCGTGGAACACGTCCTCGACCGACCCCCGCGGCGGGTGGTGCGGGTGCGGGGAGGCGGCGGCGCGGGGGTCCTCGGCGGGGAGTAGCCAGCGCGGCGGAGGCGGCTGAGGATGAGGGCCATGGTGGAGCGACCGGAGGCGCGGCTGGTGCCGATGGCGTCGGAGTCGTCGGAGTCGGACGACGGCGGGGCTCCGGGCGGAGGTCGAGCGCGAAGGGCGGCGGCGCGCGGGAGGCGGCTGCGCTGGCGCGGGTGCGACCAGGCGGAGAGCCACGGGTACGGGGCGGAGGTGGAGAGCGGGAGGAGGAGGCGGAGGCGAGGCGGGCGGCGGAGGTGGCACGCCGGGGAGGACGCCATGGCCGCCGCGGCCATGGATGGTGGTGGATGCCGGTTGGTGGGGGACGGGGTTTAGAGGATTGGGGATAGTTTTGTCCGTTCGATTTTGATGCGCGTTTGGGCCGTCCGACCGCGGATAGACGGCTGAGATGGTCGACAGTCGAGGGCTCGAGGCCTTCAATTTTGATTTGCGTTGGACTGCTGTCAATATCTGATTTTGAATTTGAGCGTTTGCTTCCGCGACACTGCTGAACATGTAAGCTAGTTTTTTTTTTCTCCTGCAAAATTTGTTGGTTTGTTCCAAGACTGAACAGAAATTTGGATGAAAAATTCATTCGTGGTGAGTTTCAATTCCAGGTACTCAGGTTCCCCCATGGGCCCGTACAAAACATGGGCCAAACACACAAACCCAGACTGTGCGCAATTGCCCTCCTGAAATTATTATATATACACGTTTCCTATTAAGTTATCACAAAGCATCGACCATGTTGTTACCCACCCGTATGATTTTACTTATGATTTAAAATAGACATTGACATTGTAGCACATCCAGAAAACATTTTTCACGTAAACCAATGACATGGCGTGACCAAAACTAAGAGCATCTTCAAAAGATTAGCCAAAAATAGATAACAAAATTCATGATTTAGTCATTCTTTAAAATAGAAACCTTTTAAAAAACTAGAGTACTTCAACAGCCTCTCTAAATTATATTCTCCACTCTATATTCAAAACAACCACGTTATTTGTTTTTGTTATAAAACATGTTGCCAGCGGTTACAACATTTTCCTCTCCGTCTCTCATGAATTCATGATCAATATAGTAGATGAAAGTAGAATACAGAGACACAAGAGATAGGGAGACTATTCTGTATTCCCCTCAATATTAATGATTACAACATAGAGCTCCCACGTATATATAGTCCTGCTAAGGTCTAAGAGTTTTGGTAAGAGCCCACATACAAGCGGACTAGGATCATGATTCCTCTTGTCTCCTTTCCTTCTGGGATAGACGTGGGAAGACGTGGGTCACGATAAGCATGAACCACAAAGTAACGCTGAGCACGGGCCACAAAGATGTGCACCTAACTCTAGAACAGGAATGAGTCGATTGCGTACAATACGACACCGCCACGACACCTATGGATGGCGATCTCGCAAATAATACGAGCACTACAATGCACAGACAAGATATGCATGGATGCACTCCTATACGTCCTTCCACTATTGCCAACATATAGTGCAACCGTTCTCAGATTTTTGGCACATCATTATCTCCCTGTAGCGAGTCGATACTATCGAACTATGCTCGGGTCGGTGTACATACAGAAAAATTGATTAAGCCTACCTAGGTCAGTAAAGTGCCATCTACTCTAGATACATAACCATAGTAATAAGACTACTTATATAACTTCGCAGTTGAACGCCCTAACTTTTTGCAAAAATAGGTTGTCAAATTTTAGTTTAGAAAAGGTTTTCAAAGCTTTATTTTCTCATTTAGCTCTGATACCACCTGTGCCAGAACCGCCTAAACTAATGCCTTCTAGCAGTGCCCGTCTTCCATTAGACACTAAGCACCCAAAGAAGAACACTAAATTACTCAGTTTCATCGGGCACACCCCAGGGGAGAACCCAAAAATCCACATTTTTATATCAGGACAATCACTTGACTTCTACCGGAGTCCTGTAGCATAGCAATCTACACGATCTTGTCATACTAGTAAGACTCATAGGATAAATATATATATATATATGCAAGTGGATTTCATTCAACTCCTTAAAACTTAATCCACAAATATAATTTAAATTGTAGAAAAATAGGGGTTATGCACCAGGGCTTGCCTGGGTAAGATATATTAAAAATTTAGTATCTGCATCTTCAGATCATCCACCATCATCTGGATAGAAAGCCCATTGCATCCTCTCGTGGAGAGAATACCAATACACCATCTTCAAATTCTCAATCATCTTTCAATTGATCCGTTGAACTATCATCGTACCTATATGATATGCGTTGATGTAGATAATCGACGACAGCCGAAATGCTTAAAAATCCGATTACGTCTCATAAGCTAACGAGATAGTTCTAACGCGCTAGTCTACGTCTCTACGTTGTTGAATCAGGCTTTACTTCCCAACTAAAGTTTTAGTTATACAAACCCAAGTTGTTTCTTTATTCCATTCTATCGATTAAATCATTATTCAAAATAGGACGTCTTTATTAATCTAGTAAACTAATTATTCTGGAGCTACAAAATTGCAGTGAGTACCTAGTATTGCTAGGAGCCTACTGTAAATATTTCAGATTCAATATTATTACCAATTTATCACAACAATTACTACAAATTTTTATTTTTACAATATTAAGTACCTTAATTTAATTATATAGCTTCCAAGAATATTACCACACTATGTGAACAAAATATACTAATAGGTAGATCATGATTTGAGAAGACTAACAAAATTTGTTTTATTATTTTTGGACTCCTATACCATTTTATATTGATTTTACAAATCTGCTTCAGCATTCAATTAGAAAATACCATAAAAATGAAAGAGGACCGGCGGCAACTAATCGGCCCAATATGACCATATCGCGGCGACTCCTGCTAACCAGCGCGGTAAAAAGGCGCTGCAGGCTCAAGCGAACACGCATCACCCATGTCTTGGCAATGACAATGAAAAGAAGCTAGCCTAAGCGATGCGGTGTGGCCCAACATGGGTGGCACCAGATTCGGCAGGCGCGACGCGCCTGCAAGGCACAACGGTGGTTCAAGCAGCGCTTCCCATGCGGTCCACCAGCGCCACGCAACTCACGCCAGCAATGCAACGCAGCCCAAGCCCAAACGCGATGGCAGTTTGCACTAAAACCCCTAAACTTTCCCCGAATTAACTAAGACGTTTCTTGTAAAGTTATGAGTCTAGCGCTTTTACAAAATGAACCCAGTAAAAAGTTCTATTTACGCTTGAGTCCTTTTCTACCTTTTTTATCACCTCGAAGCATAGCACGGACAGGAGAGCAGAGCGCCGGCCGATGCAGCGGCGGTGCTGTCGCGGGAACCACGGCAACGGAGACCGAGTGGCACAGGGAGGTACGTGGCCACCGCTCGGCTTTCGTCCGTCTGCGGCGCGACCGCAAGACAAGAGCACTGGCGGTGGCCACATGGTAGCACGCGGCAATGCAGGCTCGGCGCACGGGAGGGACCGGTGCCATGGGTCACGTGCGCGGGTATGGCGCATCCCGACGATACCGCGGACAGCTTGGTGGCATCTACGGCTCCCAGCGCGAACGACGACGGAAGGAAGGCGCAGGAGTAGACGCCAAGCGGGCGACGGTGGCGCGCCACGGCGGAGACGCGCCGCAGCGTGAGGAAGAAAAGGAGGGCACCAACAAGACGACAAAGACAACATCGAGGTGGAGCAGCGCAGGAAGACCGGTGACGGCGGCCATGAGGCGCGGTGACTCTGGAGCGCGGCCCCGGCGAAGTTGCTCGGAAGGGCGGGGCCAAGGGCGTCGATGATAATCGAGGCCAAGGTGGGGTCGAGGCTTGGCGCAGCCACAACCTAGTGGTGGCAAAGCTCGGCGCTGGCGGCTCCTAGACAGAGCAGAGGAGATTTGCACAACAAGAGAGGAGAGTGGACAGAGGTAAGGGGAGTAGTACACGGCAGCATCAATAGAAAAGATGGAAAAGCAGCTCTTGGGTTGACCCCACTCCCATTACGCATGGCGGCGTGAGAGACAAAGTGAAGAGGTAGACAAATAGAGGCAGCAGTAGCAGGTGTGGCGATGGTCGGAAGGATGGGAGCGGGGCCGACGAGGAAGCAAGCGCACGTGGATGGTACAACTCAATCTGGCGGGACACAAAGGTAGACACGGCGTTGTGACCAGGACAACAGCGCGATGAGACAACGGAGGTAGAGCGGTAAGGCATTGCGTGGCGGGTAGCGGCGCGCCAGCACGCGTATAGGGAAGTGAGAGGACACGATGTCTCAGAGGGCAAAACCATGTGCTCCTATTATAATTCAGATACGACGCAAACAAGGGAGAGAAGACAGGAGCGCAGGCAAACCAACGCGTCGGGATGCAGAGTCACGGCGAGAATGAGACAGTGAATAATTGCCATGCAACGATTACGTTGTACGCCAGGAAAAATAAATGAGCCTGCTGCGCTCTCTCTCTCGTCAGTTCGCGCTTTCACACTAATCCCGTCAAGTACGTTTTAAATTAAAAATTTGAGAAACTCTTTTCACAAAAATTTCGTAGGCCTAAATCACGGTGCTAAATAAGATCGTAACACCGAGGTGTTACAACCAACCCCCCTTAAAAAGAATCTCGTCCCGAAATTCGAAGCGAGAACCAGCAGAGGGGAAACGCGATTACATTCCGTAGATCAGAGATTACACGACTTCGAATACTAAACCACACGGGGATTTAGGGATACATGGTTAAAAGCAACCTAGTATAACTGAGACTTAATCCAGAAGTTGAGATAGGCGAGGACAATGGAGAAACAACAAGATAATGATTATCCAAAATATGACGTAGCACCAACAGATCCAAAAGCAGTCGACTGAGAAGTAAAACATCATGAACCCTAAAATCAAGCTATCTAAAGGTAGACTTGAACTTCTCCAAAAACTAGATCCTTTCTTCTTCTCAGATTACACCATCACCTCGGATTGACGAACCTAGCTTCACACTGTCGACTGGATTTCGTAGCTCTGCTCTGAATGCGAGGGAAATGGGGATGAAGAAGGAGAGCAAGGACCAAGGGTATTTTATAGTTGCGAACGGAGGTGGGGCGCAACACACTAGAAGCAGATGCGGCGAGGATGGGATACACAGATGGTTCATGCGGTGGGGGTAAACACGGCCATGGTGCGCTCCCTGCACAAACAAGCAGATGGGAAATAAAGGAGAGGAGATAAGAGGGTGCGCTCGACGAGGGAGGCGTGTGGGCGGTCGTGTCCCCAAAAGAAGAAAGAAAGAAGGGAGGGAAAGGGGGTCTAGTACGAGGGAC